TCCTAGCGCTGCTGCCCTGCCGCTGAGGTCGAGGTGTCCGAGAGGGACAGCCGGGCACCCCCGGGGCTGCCAGCTGGGTACCGCTGGTCCTGGTGGTATGTGGCCTGCAGAGGAAGCAGGGGGACAAAGCAAGCCAGAATGGAGAACGGCAAACATAAAATACCTTAGAAGTACACAGGGATGTTAACTCCAGAGGAGGGAATGATACCAAAAGAGACAGAAGAAAGAGTCCATGTGCAGTCAACAGAGGAAAAAAGTGACTACTGTGCCAAGACACAGTGGAGGGAGACACTTTGAAGGCCTCCTCTATTAGTCAGGCCCTCGTAAGGTCAGGGGAGTTCAACAGAAACAGCCAGAACTGGCTGTCCTGCAGATTCATTTATGTCAGCTGCAGAAACATAGGAACAAACATGAATTGACCATTTTACTTTATGTACACACGTACGTACACACACTGTGATCCTGACACCTGAACACTGGGGCCATCCTGCCACAGTGCCTGGATGAAAATGCCTCTTTACAGCTTCCGACACATGAGACTAGAGCACACAGTTGAGTTACTGGGTACCACACAGTCAGCCGCAGTGGAGTTTTATGAGGCAGAGCATGCAGATTTAACAGCTCACCTCACCTGAAAAGGGGAGTTTCTGGTCTTTCTCTGGCCCTGGCTGTGTTATTTCCCCTGCTAAACTCATGCCAGCACGATTGCTCATCAGATACGCTGTGAGTCACTTCAAGTTGCTAAAGTTGCAGGAAAAAACAGCGGCACACAAGAAGAGAGTTGAATCGTTTCCTGCTATTTTAATTTATTAAAACAGCTCTTGGAAGGGCCTAATGCTAGGCCGGAGTTATTACTGGGCAGGGGAGAAAAGTGGTGACTGCCCAGCCAGGGGTAGGAGCCGTTAGAATAAGGTCAGCTGTCTGAGGATCTGTACCCTTAACAGCCTGCTTGGCTGCTTTGCTGGACTTTTGGGGCCACCATTTGACAGAAGACAAAACCACTGATCAGTGGGTTAATACCATGGCAATAGCCCAGCATGCATCTGGTATAGAAGGGAAAGGAAAAGTGAATAGTAGATTAACAGTATGAATTGGAAGGCCGCTGTTTGCTATAGCAGGAGGCCTACCCACAGCAGAAAAAGACTGGATTCAAACAAAGTTAACAAGTACAATACATTGAACTTACTATCCATCGCAGGTTTAGTTTTTCTGGAATCAGTGAAACGATTCTCTGGAAAGCTCCAGCAACACCCACTGTCTTTTAGATTGCAGCCGTTCTCCTCACCTTCAGTGCTGAAAAGCAGTGCAGGAAAGAAGCGTGGGAAAGGAAATGGAAATCCAGGAGCCCAGACTTGAGTCTCGTTACTTGCTCAGTATGGAGGGGGTTAGTTCCCAAAGCCAACTGCTCACTGTGCTAATTCTAATACAAATCAGTAACATTTTAGATAGATCCCAAGATTTTGAACTTGAGAAAGGAAAAAATAACCAAACCGGTGGAATTCTGAGATTTTCAGACCGCCTGTCATTTTACACTCAAGTCTTGCAAATGCGTTCATTGTTGCATGGGATTAGGGAATAGTTGTAGAAATAAGTAACTTCCCTGTAGGAAGACCTTTTGGCAGTCTAGTTTCTGCGGCTATAAGTCTAAGACGATGTAGCTAATTTTTTTTACGGACTCAGAAGCGTGGCTTTGAAATCAGCCCTTTCTGCCAGCAGTACACTGCTTGACATTGGTCACCGCTAGCGTGTGTGTGTGTTAGCATACCTTGACAGAGCTAAGAGTCAAATCTTAACCATCCTTTTATTCCTTATTTCTCAAGTCTGTCTATCCTGTTTATACTAGTATAGTGGGATTGGGTATCAGCTTGTAACTATCACAGATCAAGGTTGCGTGAGGCTTTTGGGGCACCCGGGTCAAGATCTGAACATACTGTAGGGCTTAATATTTCCATCAAAGCCCTGATGATTGTACAAGGCCTTAGGGATTTCCACTAATTGTCTGTTACTTTCACAAACCCTGCTGGCTCTCATCGTAGACCTGTAATTCACAGCTTCATTCTACATACTGCTTATCATTTTAGGATTTTCTTTAATACAGGAGGCTTTGTTATTACACTTTAAAAAAAAAAAAAGTTAATCCATGTGATGCAAATAACTGGTGGAGTAACTGCCAATGAACCTCTCTCCATTGTTTAGTTACTCTAATCAATTCTACAGCAGGTGTGTGTGAAAACTGTACAGGTACATACAAAACCTGTCCAACCTGAATGTCCCGTCTAAGGACATTTTTCAAGCATGCCATTAAAGCATCTACTGCTGCAGTTAAAAATACAGTAGACCTAGACTGATCGTATTTGTCATCCCATGAGCAGAGAGACATGTTCTGGCAGCCCTACTGTGGTACCAGCAATCAGCTCAGTGAAGTTAAGGGGTTGCATACAGAATTTGCGTGAATACATAGGAAGTTTTGGAGCAGCGTCATTGAGGATTGGGGTCAGTTATAAATGTGGGGAGGTTAGCAGCAAGTGCTGACTACTTTGACAACAGCAAATTGCCTTTTCTAAAGCTCAGCAAGGTGATGTACAGGAAAAGTTGATGCTCAGCGGGTCAGAGTGCCTCACCAGTCATTGATGAAAAGGAAATTCTGAAGACAGCGGTAGAAGAAAGCTGACTGGTCATGAATTCCCAGCTTCCAAGTTCCCAAGCATACTTAAAATTTATGTTTCCTTTAATCAAATAGTCCTTCCTCCCTGTAGACTTGTAGGAACTGCTTACTGATGGAGCATCTATGAAATCAGTAGTCAGCCCTTATAAAGGGAAGTGGCCTTCTGCATCCAACACTGTCCAAGGGCCCTGAGGACCTAAGTTGACTCCCTGTATTTGGAAGGCATATCGTACAGCTCAACTGAGAAGACAAAAAATATCTGATGCAGTTCCAGTGAATGTCCTGTACAGCTATTACTCTCTCAAAATATTTTGAACAGTCCTGGTAAAGTGATGACTCTGTACATATTAGAACATTGAGTCTTTTGGCTGCATTGTTTGAATTTAGTATAAGGAGTTCCAAATCCTGTCTCACGGACCAAGATTTAAATTTCTCTTTACATTTAGCTTCACAAATATTTCCTTTGAAATATTTGAAGCCTCCTGAACAGATTTAGGAACCAGCATGGTTATTGCCCTGCTTCACAGAAGTGGTTGTGTGGAAGGGTCAAGGAAAACACATGTTGTCATGCAGAAATCAGCATCACCTCTGAACAATGCATACATAAAATTGCACACTTAGTTCCTCCTCAACAAGAGCCCTTTGTTTTCTCTGCCTGCTCTACCTAATTCTTTTTAGGATATGAAATCCGTATATGTACGCACTTCTGTATGTGTATATATACACACGCACAAACTGAAACATGCTGAGCCTCAGATATTCTATTCCCAGGTATTACCACCATTGTCATTGCTCCCCTTTGTGCTTCTGGGATGGTTTGCAAGGCCGTGATGTGAATGGGCTCAGTACCTACCTACAGCTGCGTTAGCAGAAGTGAGGAGACCAGTCTGGGTACAGGGAGAAGCAGGAACTCCTGAAAGTGGCCAAGGCCCTTGTCAAACCATTGCAAGCACCTTCCCGTGAAGAGCAAGCGGCAGCAGGAAGGTGCTTACCTCAGCCCTCTGTGGAGGGAATAAGAAGGGGCAGAATGGGAATATCCGGTAATCCTTCATGGTGGCTGTCACTGGCTTTCTTCGGTTAGAAGGATCTGGCAACACAAGAGAGGAATTTGTCTAATTCCCTTGCATGCTGCTTCAGCCCTTTCTTTTCAAGTCCATACAATCTTGACAGCTCAAGAGGAAAATGCCACGCTGATCAACGTTAGCAGCATAAAATGAAAGCCTGTATGCAAACTGCAGATCCTGTCCCACTTTAAAGACAAATATAGGACCACTGTGTCGAGCATCTTACGTTCTTGGCTGTCAGACTGCAATGGAATAATAAGATTCACAATTCTGTGATTAACTTCAGAATTTGAGGAGCAGCACGCGTGATACACTAGGAGTTTTCATTTCCCGAATGGGCAACTCTAGCTATGCTATGCTTCAACATCCGTCATGTTGACTAATCTTAGCCTGACCCCTAGTGAGCTGCCACAGAATAATCAGATTTATCTAACAGATGCTGCACCTTCCTGACAGGCAACTACCACACAAAGAAGTCATTTATCTGTATTTTTTTTTTTCTTAAAAAAAAACTTGGTTACCTTTATCAGTAGCATAACATAAGAAAAAGAAGAGTCAGCTCAGAAGTCATGAGGCTTTCTTCTGAAGGTGGGGGTGTGGAAGAGAACGCAGGACCTGGTATCGAGTTCACTTAACTTACCTCCGCATATAAGGTGGTTTTTGCCTCCTTCCCCTCCTCCTTTTTTTTTGTGTAATCAGGAACTGCTTCTTCAGATTTATGAAGAGATTTTTATCTCTGAAGGAGATGAAGTGGAAGTTGCATCTGGTTAGATAAATTTAAATAAACAAACACTTAAACACAAAAAAAGTGTGTAAGTTAAAGCAGTAAACACATTTTAAAGGACCTAAATAACTTGCACACTTTTTTAGAAGCTTCTAGGTTTTTGTCAGCTTTAACCTCAGCATTTTGTTCATACTGGATATTTCTTGCTCAGTGTGTTTATGCCAAGTAGTTAGAGACCAAAATACAATCACTGTGCGCTTGCCTTGGCAATAACACAAGCACAGTAAAATTTTTATGCATTTCTTTCCCCGCATGAAGATCCATTTATCAAGCTCACTGACAAATTAGAAAAAGTAATTTGTCCAACCTCTGAAATGTACCCATGAGAGCTCACACTTTTTTTAAAGCGGCGTTCTTCTGTAGCGGTAGCCAAGAGGACTATCTCGGTAATAGTGCTCTCTGTCTATGGTTTTGGTGTACTTCTGTCACCCCCAGTTTGTGCAAGATGTGATTTTGACATCTATTCCTATCTTTCTGCTCCCTATAGGCATTTTGAAGTTTGTGGAAATCACGGTTAACCTCCTGGTGCTGATTTGCGTGGGCGCTGCCCAAGCCTCTGTTGCAGGCTTTACGTCCCTCGGCGGCTTCGGCACCGGATCCTTTAGCCTGAATTCGGCTTATAGCCCCTTTGAGGGCACGGAGCTCCGGGAGGTGAGGGAGCTAGACATGCAGTTCACCCAGATGAGAGCCCCGTGCGTGTATGGCGGAGTAGCCTTCAGCTTAACAGCAGCAGTACTTACCCTTGTCTTCCTTGTCGTGGGGGCAAAACCCATCCAGCAGCTCAGGATAGGGCTGCTGGCAGGCGAATGTGCCTTCAACCTGCTGGCCGGCGTGGCGTACATTGCAGCAGTCGGCCTCTACCTGCATTTCGTCAGCCAGGTGAACTCCACGGAAGTTTGCAAGAGGCGCGAGAGGCTGTATGCGCGCCGTGGTTATACCTCCATGAACTGCGTGGTCCAGGGTGGCGACGCGGCCGTCAGCCTTTTTGGTGTCACTGGTGCCTGTTTGTACTTTGCCAGCTTTGTGGTCTGCATCCTTGCTATCCGAACCGTCCGGGCCTTCCAGAGCCACGCTGCCAAGGCTCAGCACAGCCCCAAAAGCAGCATTAGAGACAGAAGCGTCAGAAACCACCATGCCATCTACAGGACTCCTGAAAGCTCCCACAATGTCCAGGCTCTTGCCACGTTAGTGTGAAGTCAGCTCTGGGACTGCGCCAGAGAGCTGGAGCTTCAGCAAGGGACGGACACTGGGCATCGCATGCTAAACAGGCGAGCAGTCCGCAATGTATTGTCCTACAAGGTGCTGAAGCGTGTATCGAATCGCCAAATATAACAATACTGCTGTAACACGATGTAATAAAATTGACGTTGAGTGGATTTTTTAACAAGGTTTTTTTTTGCATCAGCTTCTCAAGCTGGACTCCTGCATTTAAAGTGTGTTTAATTGTAATGTTTTCATCCTGCACGGAGCAAATCCAAACAGCAATGGGCTGTTAACAGGTTGCAACCACAGTGCTGCCAAACTTGTGCTAACAACCACTTCCTTTCCTCTCCCATGACGTAAGGAACTCAATACACAGCTAGGATGGGCAGCCTTCAACAGATCCTGCGCCTGTCGATGGATCCTGTTGCCTTACATCACACCACGCACAAAGCAGAGGACACTCGAGTGCTTTTCTGAATCACAACTGGAGCTACACTTGTGACCTGTTTCGCTTGGGCTAGTGAAGCTGTTTATCTTTTGAGTCACAGGGGTTGACACATGCCAATCGTGTTCCCTGAGGAATGCTTCTGGGAGGAACTAACTGCAATTTCAAAGGTAGCATTTGGGTCCTCCTCCAGTTCCCTACTATGTTTTCCCCATCTCGCTGAGTGCAGATCAGAACTTGAGAGGCAGCGTATTGGTCAGCTATCAGCTTAGTAAAGCTACTGCTTGCTTCTGGAACCACCTAAACAAGGTTTGGCTTGCTGATTCCACAGACAGTGGTGGGCAGAGCCCGAGGCGGGAACACGCTGGCTGCCCTGGAGTTTTCCATGGGAATGCTGTAACAATGACAGAAAGTACATGTGTCCTTCCAATATCTAAACACACAAAGCATGAGTGAACAGCAGTAATTGTATGCCCCCAGGGTTGAGAAAATAAATTTGAGAACATCTTTCAAGAGTCCTTTGTTTGAGGCAGATGAAATAGATCACTGGTCTCCATAGATGAGGGAGTGAGAAAAAAAGGCTGCTCTTGAAGTACGTAAGATTTGTCAGCTTGAGAGGAGGGAAGAGGCAGTTTTGATTCTGGCTGTGCTCGCTCTTTTCAGTTTTGTCTGGCTCAGAGTCATTGCCCAGATGAGGCTCTTTCGGCTCATAGTAGAGCTTATTTATTGTATACTTCATATATACACACACACACAGATCTCAAAGGATTATGTTTGAGGTAATATAAGCCAAACAAGAAAATGTTATGGTTCTGATTAGAAGTGATTACATGGGCCTTTACAGTAAGTATTTATCATTTATATAATACCTTAAACATCTCTCTAACACTTTAAACATACAAGCTTCATAGCATTATTATGCTTATGAAGAGACAGGAGTGAAGAGTTTTTCCAAACTTGCAATGACTCACAGTAGTGATAGAGTCATGAAATTGAGACTTCAATTGCTAGCTCTTTCCCCAAACCCAGACCTTCACTGGTATGCTGTAATCAGCTGGAAAGTCTCTTACAGGGATGTCTGGCACGCAGCTAAAGCCGCAGCTAACCACTTGTTAGGCATTTCTGCCAGCACACTTGGTCCTGTGCTACCTCTACATCTTGCACATTTTAAATGCAGGCTTAGTTACATGATGGCACACTGTTATTAACTTGCACAAACAACAAAAAGCAGCACCTTGAAGTGACACATTCAAAAGATTAGAAGATGCTGCAGATAGGAATGTATAAATCTTAACTCAGTCCTGAAATATGTGTGCAATATGAATTTTAATCTCAGGGCATCTTACTCTGCCCCATTCATTTTTGAATGCTTGCCTGCCATCGCTGCAATAGCAACAGTCCTCTGCAACCATCGATTCTGTCTCTTTTTTCCCCGTGTGTGTGTGTCTTAAAGGCCTCATTTGTTGCAAGGTAATTCAGTCTTTCGAAAAAGGTGCACGGAGTTTCCCTGTGGACTATTGCTGTAGTGTTCCTCCCTTGGACACTTGGGTTCCTCACAGTCAATCCGTTTTGGGTCCCTTTGCTCCTGTTAACAGGAGCAATTTTATGCATTTTACGGGCACAGTCAGAAAGTAGCTGCTAGTTACAGGTGCTCGGTTGGAGACTCCTGGGACCTGCTTGCTGCCCCAAGCATCCGGTCGGTCCCAGTCATGTTCTCTCCGCTCCTCACCCTGCACTCACCATCCCCTTGTGTTTCTAACCTCCATAGCCTCAAGTTTATTCCTTTAATCTAATCTAAATCTACCGTCTTTTAGTTTAAAACTGTTAACCCTTGTCCTGTCACTACAGGCTCTGGTAAAAAGTCTCTCTCCGTATCTCTTATTGGCCCTCTATATATTGAAAGGCTGCAATAAGGTCTCCCCGGAGCCTCCTCTTCAGGCTGAACAACCCCAACTCTCTCAGCCTCTCCTCATAGGAGAGGTGCTCCTATCATTTTCGTGGCCCTCCTCTGGACCGGCTCCAACAGGTCCATGTCTTTCCTGTGCTGAGGGCTCCAGAGCTGGACGCAGTACTGCAGGTGGGGTCTCACCAGAGCAGAGTAGAGGGGCTCCCTCGACCTCCCTCATCTCCCTCGACCTGCTGGCCACGCTTCTTTGGATGCAGTCTAGGGTACGACTGGCCTTCTGGGCTGCGAGTGCACATTGCTGGCTCATGTCCAGCTTCTCATCCAGCAGTACCCCCAAGTCCTTCTCGGCAGGACTGCTCTCAATCCATTCGTCACCCAGTGACGAACCTTGCACTTAGCCTTGTTGGAACTTTGTGAGGTTCACATTGGCCCACTCCTCAAGCCTTGAGACCCTGACGTCCCTCTGGATGGCATCCCTTCCCTCAGGCATACCAACTGCACCACTCAGCTTGGTGTCATCCACAAACTTGCTGAGGTCCTGAAGCACTGCAAGCAGAGGGACCACAAAGCCCAGGGATTGCTAGCTTCTTGAAAGCTTTGTCCCTCAAATTTGTCTCCTTCCCTGCCACCGTGAAGAAAGATTGCTAGGAAATAATTGCGAAGAGGAAATAAACATCAGTGCTGTTTCCTCCACTCACCTTCATGGAGGGAAGTGTAGGAGAGGAGAGGGGAAAATCCCATAAATACTCCTCCTGAGACGGCTAGGGCAGGGAAGAAGCAGCTTTCCTTCCCCTTGGGGTGAAGGGCGAGCCACATACCATCAGAACAATCCAAACAACCCTGCTTCCCGACTGTAACAAGACCATGCTTGGTATCCTGTAGCCGACTTGAAAATCTTTGCTCTGCAAGCTGGGAAGGTGTAATACAAGAGCAGAGATTTTTCTGGCACACACACACGAGTAAGGCTGCAACAGGCTGTCATCCCCAGCTGCCGCTGCAGGTGGTCCTACCCTCCGGGGCAGATTAGCCTTCCCGCCTTCTGCTGCAGATGGCTGTTCCCCACTGTTACCACTGCACAGTAACAGCCAGTTAGTACGGGACAATAATCCGCATTTGGACCAGTAAACAAGGGCAGGGCAAATGGCTCCCGTCAGCCCTATCATTTAGCCTTTCCCTGTTGCCTGCCCCATGCATGCATGTATGCACCGTCTGCGCGCAACCTTCAGGGTCAGCACTGAAGATAAACTCTCCCATTTCCCTTTGCTGCTTCGAAGCAGCCCCTCAAAGCCCAGTTTCACCTGCAACCAAAGGACTGCACACAGTCGTCACCCTCAGTCCCTCTTTGGTGAGAGGGAGCCTCAGGGTGTATCCAGCTTGCCCGCTGTGACCACCGTCAGCTTATGACCTGCTGTGAGGGGAACAGTGATACCAAAGGTCAAGTCTGTGCTTCCCTGAGAGGTTGTCTTGTGGGTAGGCAGGATGGCCTCTCTCAACCTAAAAGCCCTGGGGACCCCACCACTGGCGCAGTAGGAAGCCTTCTGGTATGCCAAGCTTATCCTGAACCTTCAAAAAGAGGAACAAAATGGCCACCATCCCGTTCCCTGGAGATGCTACAGAACAGATGCAGGCTGCAGGGTGAACCGGAGCTGCCCGACAGGAGAAAAGCCCCACCACAAATGATGGGTCACTGGTGCAAGGTGCTGGGGTGAGCTGAGTAGCTCATTTATCTCAGAGTTACCTGCAAGACTTCCAGCCAGCCCCTTTGGACTTAAACCATCAATTTGCACCTGTCTCCTTCAACGCGGGAGCAAACAGCTTTAGTCAGCCTGAGGACAAAACCTCCAGCTGAGCTCCCCAGCCGTCAACTGTCCACAAAGCGACCCCCTCCCCACAGAAGAGCCTTGGAGAAAAACCAATCTCTCTTTGAAAAAATGTCTCCACGCCCTAATCCAGAGGGGGAAACAAAGCGCATCAGATAGTTAGGACGACTATATTAAAAACAAAACCAAACCAAAACAGAAGAAATCCACCCCCTGATTCTGCATCCCACTGCTGAGTAAACTGCCATGAGAATTTTGTCATGCTGGATCGTGTACCTTTGAGCACCCACTTTCCTGAACGTCTCCTTTATTCAAATAATAGTTCGTAAAAGTAGTTCAGTCCGGGGGGGTCCAGAACAGAGCAAATCAGCATCCAAAGACACAGGTGTCTTGTTTCAATATAAAAGGCAAAATTGTGGGGGGTGAGGCTGGAGAGGAGAGAGTATAATTACTCCTCCAAATAGGCTTAACATAACCTTTACATTCACCAGATAATTCAGGTATCTGGAACTGTAAATCCGGCGCTGCTGGAAGATCTGTGTGTGTTAGGGCATTGCCCTCCTGCCACTGACCAGCTGCAAGGAGGAGGGACCTTTGTACCCATCCACAGAAAGGAAATTTTCAGGTAAGCACAAACAACAAGTTTTCCTATTTTCTTAATGAGTTTAAGAAAACATTCCTAGAATATTTTAAATTTTATCACAATTTAAGCTTTTTCCATTAGTTCTTCAGAAGAGTTCGAGCACATCCAATGTGGAGAAACAACCAGGGACACAAACTGGTTGTGCAACAGCAGAAACTGAATTCAAGGCTTAGCATT